ATAATAAATGATTTTAACATGAAATCTTTTCGAAGAAATGGGGTTCTAAAAAGGTGCTATTACAATTAAATAACCTATTGTCATTTCAAAATTACTGCAATATAATGATTGAAGAAATTGTTAAGAAATCAAAGTAAATATTTTCATTATAGATTAATAAGTATATTGGGCTAGAAGATCTACTCAATGGGAAATCTTACTTCCTAGATCTCCATTGAAAGTTCTTTTTCACTTCTTTTGCTGCATTTGAAAAGCTGGCAATCTTAAAAATATAGCCAATGAATAACTGGTCTCTTCCACTTACTGTAGTTTAAAGGAATTTGTTTTTATTATTTTTATTTTATTTTTTTGTAGAGGCTAGGTCTTGCTCTGTTGCCCAGGTTGGTCTCAAACTCCTGGCCTCAAGTCATCTTCCTGCTTCAGCCTCTCAGAGTCTTGGAATTATAGGCATGAGCCAGCACCCCTGACCAATAGAAATTTTAAAGAAAATATTACCACTCTCTCTTTTGGTTAAAAAAATAATGAGCAATTATTTTGCATTTTCCCCAAATGGATTGTTCTGTTTCCATTTTTGTAAAAGGAATGAGAGAAGGATAGAGGGAAAGTGCAAAGAAGATAGAAGGTCTCCTTCCAGGGGTAGGCTCTCCTTTATTGCAACATGTAAAAATTTAAGAGATCCCCAAGGTTTTCTAAAGCCAAAGAAGATGCCATCTCATCTTTATTTTATCATTAAGCTCATTTTCAATATTTTGATATTAATTTTAGATCAGAGATATTTTATTCTTATGTGTTAAAGATAGATTTTTATTTTTTTATTTTTTAGTTTTTAAATTTATTATTGTGTAAAATATATTCATATTATTAGTTTTTTATTTAGTTTATTTTATTCTTATTTGAGATAGATTTTTTGTTTTTTTTTTTAAATTATGTTAGGGATCAAGTATTGAGAGATGCATATTTATCAATAAAACTTAAAATACAAGGTAAATATTAACTTATTAGTAGTCATGCAATAATATTTATTTGATCCCAATTTTATATATTTGAGTGTGTCAAGTTGCAGGTCAATATAGCTGGGGGTTTCAACACCAAGTTTTATTCATGTGTGCATTCATGCACTGGATGCTTCCCATGTATAGAAATTCACAATGAATAAGCATGAATAGGATCTGGCCAGTGAACTCTCAGTCTAGTAAAGAAGATAGAAAATGAACATAGTAAACTAATCCAATGTAAAGAGAGAGACATTTTTAAATCCACCCAAAGATAAATAGCTGTGTTAGAGTGAGGCCATCAAATAAAGCTTCATGTAATAGGTGGCAATAGGCCTTCAAGGTGACAGTTTAGCAAAAGGTACAAAGATGAAAAGTGCAGTGCATTAAGAAGTGAATGGTTTAGTTTGCCGGAAATAATAGGTTGGGCAAAGAGCTGTGGCTAGGACAAAAAGCCAAAGGATATATGGGAGTCTGATGGCCATTTAGTGACTGGGTAGGCTGTGTACACTTTATGTGCAAGGCAAGATACAAAGTTTTTGAGCAGCAGAGAAACAGGATCAGAGGGACACATGAGGAAGATCCTCAAAACCCTAACAAGTAAGCTTGGTTAAACTTTCTACGTTATCACTCGAGTTTTGCATCTATATCATTCAATAGTAACAACAATTGTGTTCTTCCCATATTTAGAGAGTTTAAAAGAACATCTGTTCATATCATCTTGCAAGCCAATCACAAAGACTAGGACAAAACATTTATATAAATAGAGCTCATAAGATGAATTTAAAATGCGAAAGAAGAAACAAAGATAGTTAATACATTTTATTTTATCACTTGGAAGTTTTAACTCCTGAAAGCATACCTTCATTTAAAATATGAAAGAAAGGAATTTGGGGCAGTATCATTTTTAAATCTTTGAACTTACTCATGAGAGCTGTGTATAAAAAAGTTAAACCAGTGTCATTGGCTGTGTTAACACATTTTTAAAAAGAAAAAGAACAAAAAACTATACAAAACCAAGCAGCAAACAGTCAAACAAGTTCATTTAAATTGCACTTTGTAGTACAAATCCTTTCCTTTTTTCTTCATTGGGAATAGCTTGTCAGGTCCTAATGATTTATTTAAATGGAGGGATTTTTATAGGCCTAGAATATTAGAATCCTTTATTAACTTTTACGTTCCATGGATAAACAGAAGACAGCACGTCAAGTTTCCTGGGGAACACAAAATCTCCTTTTTTAATCACATATTCAGTTTAAAACCTCAGCGCTTCATAAGCATTATTTATGCCCAACAAATAAATTGGCATCTTGTAGGTAGCAATTGCTTACTTTATTAAAACACTTTGGGGAGAACATATGTAAAGGGGTAGTTTAGGGTGCTTACCCAATTCTCAGGGTATCACTTTCATTACAAGAATGCCACCCCAACCTGCTGGGCAGGAGCAATCTCTCTTTCTTTCCTGGCACTTTCCTCCATTCATGTGGTCCCTGCAGCTCAATGTGCAATTGTGTCTGAAGATGTGATCTAAACAGACTGTCATGTGATGCCATCTTAGCCCGTAACTATGTAACTAAAAATCAAAATAAAACCCTTAATTTTCCTTAAAAAAAAACCACAAAAAACTATGATCCTTGAGCATAGTTCTTAAGGAAACTTTAAACAGGACAACAGCAAGCTATGGCTTTTAAAATAAAGCTTATTTTACTTTTTCCAATTATTACATTGGAATATTATCCCTAAGAATATTTAGAATCTTTAGGAATTTCTTTTTTAAAAAATTGTTGATTTGAGAATAAAAAAATAATAATCAATGTTACTGAAATTTTGATGCTTTTTCTTTCAGGATTTTTAAAGCAAAGTTTTGTTTTCTGAGTAAATCTTTTTATTCAAATTTAATACACACACAGAGAAGTACGCAAATCTAAATTATATACTTTAAACTTCTTTTCACATTGTAAACAACTCATGTAAATGTCACCCAGATCCAGACACAGAATATTACTAGCAATTCAAAATCTCAAAGGTGACTTGATAATTTTCAGTCATTAATTTCATATATTAAGCACTGTGATCTCTATCACTACAGATTGTTTTCTCTTTTTTTAAAACTTTTTATAGGTAGAATTGTAATGTATGTACTCTGCTGTCAAACTTCTTTCATGCAATATAATGTATGTGAGATTCATCCACATTGTGTATGTAAGTTTATTTTTTATGGTTATATGGTATTCCATTGTGTTAATGTACCACCATGTATTTATTTATCCATTCTGGGGGAAATTACCATATCAAATAAAGGTGGAGAGACTTGTATTCAGTTGTTTGAGGCTCATTCCATTTTAACTTTTGTCCCTGTTTCTAGGGTAGGGCCTTTATGATGCCCTAATTGAAAACTTGGCATTTTTACCAAGGCCTCTCTACTTTGGCAGGTGTGAGCTCCAGCTTCTGCTTCCCATGATCATGAAACTGCTGATAAATGTGCTTCATTCTTGAGGCTCTTAACAGCTATCCATTAATTGGCAAACGGCTTGAGGAGAGAAGCACTTGAGACCATCCTACTGGTCTGGTCTTCTCTTCTTTGCAGATCTTGGCCACTTAAATTATGACTGTCCTTGTTGCCCCAAACTATTTCTCTTCTGCCTTTGGTTAGCCAAAGCATCAGAAGTTTAATTAAGAAACATTAAAGTATTTCTGTTTTTCTACAGAAACATTTATTGATATTATGATTTGACCACTGCATAAAAATATTTTTCCTATTTTTCTGAACACATTCTAAAGCAAGCATCAAGCTTTGATATTATTAAAATACAACAAATAGGGGGAGGACAAAAAGAACAGCTCTGTTTTACAAAGAAAAGAAAAAGAAGCAGTGGACTGGCTGCAAACCATTACTTTTGATAGAGATTGACTTTGATCAGAATTGATTCGATGCTTGAGTTCTGTTGTTTAGATATATAAGAAAAACTGCTCACATTTCAAAGAATTTTGGTCCACTTAAGCATATTAAACAAGTAGTTCTCTGCATTATAAAAACCTAGAAAGGAATTATATTTTAGGGCTATTTAAGGTAAATTTTAACTATATAAAGTGATTTCTAGTGGAATTTTAATAGAAGAATTAAACGATTTCGGTCTTTCTCCCATTATGCTAATTTAAAGATATTTTTCAGCTCCATTTTCCTGTATTAACTTCAAGAGCACCCCTCCACCCTGCACTCCCACTTCTACCAGTACCTACCCAGCACTCCTTTATTGTACAAAAGGAAAAAATAAGACAAAAGATGATGGATTTGATAGGAAACTCTGAAGAAGTGACTTTGGCCCTACTTTTCTTGCAAACTTTATGTTAAAACATATGATGGTATTAAATATTGATAGTAAAATTTTCTACAAAAACGTAGTAAATTATCTAAAAATAAACGTGAATATAATAAAGTAAATGCTTTTACACACCAAATTTGTGCAAAGCAGTTCAGTTCTCTACAAATATCTTTTTCTTCCTCCTCATCTTCTTCATCTTTGTAGGTGGGAGGCAGAAAGGTAATAACATAATGAAGCTGTTGAGGTGGACTCTTGAATAGAAGACCTGGAAACCTCACAACTTCTAATTCCACTTCTTCCTCTAGCTCATCATCATCTAAAGCTAAGGCCATAGAGGAAAATGCGAGGTTTCAACTTGGTTAAAAGAAGGAAAAACTGTGCAAAGGTTGATAGAGAAATGAGAGATTTTGAACTAGACAGCCAAGGCAGGGGGTGACAGAAAGGTAAAATGCTTTGAGATGGCCATTTCAAAAGCCTATTGTAAATGAAGGTGAGAAGCTGCCCGCACAAAGTTAAAACTGTAGCAGAGAGAACAAAAGAAAATAAGGAAAGATCTTGGTCTGTGATGAGAGAAAGGGGAAGGCAGGTTAAGAAATATGTGGCCTCCATTGCTCCTGAAGAACAAGATGAGGATGGATGTAGTTTAGAAAAGACATTAATACAATAAAATCCTTCAGTGACTCACAGGTGGAAGTTTTTCTGTCATTTCCAATTCTGTAGGCTTCTTCACACTACATTCGTATGTTCCCACAGAATTAATGTAGTTGGTCATGACTATACTGACATCCAGACACTCATCCGCATCTGAGAAAATTTAAACAATTTCTGCTTTTAGGCATTGAGAGAGAAGATAGACCTTCGAAAATAATGGGCATATTTGAGTCTCTCTTGTGGCCTTTATTAATCAGTAACAATGTACTGCCACATAGAAAGCAAGCATAGCCCCCAATTTTTTCTCAAGTACACTCTGCCAGTGATTTCTCTTTCACTCATTTTCAAGTTTACTGAACATCATCTACACAGACAAGGTATTTCTGAGATTTTGTGAGGTTTAGATGAAGAACTTAGAATAAATTCAATAGTCTCAGGCTGTGTGCCCTTTGTAGAATGTTCATTCACTCCTGAATTATTCAACATATATGATAGAAAACTTATTCTGTGCATAAGTCAGCACAAGGTTTGTAGAGAATTTTAGAGATGAAAGAATTTTAGGCTTTGATTGCATGTGAGTTACTGGTTTATGACCAAATCTGGGTCCAGACTGTGATCAATATCTTCACAATACTAAAAGTTCATATATGAGCTTCTAAGCTTTACCTCAGCTTGTTGATGCCTTTTCCACTTGCATGGCTGTATACAAGTATGTATGTTCATATTATACAATCATCTCTTGGCTCATTCTGCTTAAGAGCAGATGGTACATGAAATTTTAAAAATGTTTTTGGCTCTGTTAATTGGATGTAATGTGGTAAGTGGCAATATACTCTACTGTGTTTAGTATATATAGATATCATAGTTGTGTGTTCATTGCTGTTATCTTCATTGCAAGGCTGGGGGAGCTGGGCTATCTGTCATCTTTGACAGAATTCTGAGATTTGTTTCTTTAAGCAAAGAAAAACTAATTTATCTTAGGCACTACGGTCTTATATAATTTGATTATTATTGGAATAGATATCAATCTTCTAAACTTTGCTTTGATTTTAAGAAAAATACAGTTCAAAATAATGATAATAATAATCACAAAATGAAAATGTTAAGATTAAACACAAGGTAAACTTTTAAAGTAAACTACAGTAATGACTATATGAGCTTTTCTTAATTGTATAAACAAAGTCAACAAACTCTACTCACTAAATTCAAACTGTTCTATATTAAAAAGAAAATACACAAGCAAAAATATCACCTGAAAGGCAAATGAACTAATTTTAGCAAGTAAGTTAGGAAACTGTAAATGACTCATTTTAAAACTTGCATTAGCTATATTAACAGCAGATATGAAAGGGACTCTGGTAAAGATTTGGACTGTGGCTTTTGAACTGACAGTCCTTTGCTCTCTAACTAAAAGAACTCATTCAAAATGCCTTTCAGTAACCAACTTTCTAATTCCAGTGAAGTTTGCCATGGGTGGTTTCTTTGGCAGTGTGCCTTCCAGAATCTCTCGTTCACCTTTAATATATATTAAACTGTACGAAAGGGATTATGGACCAATGAATATGATAATAATAATAGCTACTTTTAGTTGAGTAATTTTTCTATGTCGGCCACTGCACTAGGCACTTTACATTTATTACTTTTCTTAATTTCCCCACTAATCCGATTATTGTCGTCACTTTACTGATGAGGAGCTAAGGCTCATAGCAGTTGAAGTCGCCCAAGTTTAAACGATAGTAAATGGTAGAATCACACAGAAGTACAAGTCTCTTTAGTGTGAAAGCCTTCCACTGCCCACCCTGGCCCTCTGCCTCAGACATTTCTCCTCCTTTATTACCCCATCACATCAATTATTTCATGTTAAATCTCAGGAATTTAACATCACATCCACAACCATCTGAACTGATCTGAAAGCCTTCCTGACAACTGCATTTGTAGCCTCCTAAATAGTTGATGCAGAACTGGGCACAGCAGGTTTCTCCATTCTCACATTCCTCAAGATCTGAAGGGAGAAATAGCACTGCTGTTAGTGCAGAGGCAGGAATTTGATGATTCTATAGAAGCACTGATAAGCTTCACTTCTAAACTAAAGCTGTTTTACTTATCATTTTCTATTTATTAGGCCATGTAATACAGACAGTGAAGAAACCTTAACACAAAAATAAGGAGACCCACTTTTGGTTTATGTTTCCTCATGCTCCTTCTACGTCTGTTATTTATTTTAAAAGAATGTAAATAATCTCCAAATGCATTTATAAGCATAGGAAAATACATCCCTGCTATTTTTCCAGTGTAAACAGTAATTGGACTGAATAAACAGAGAAGTTGAAGAACAAAAAAACAGCTTAAGAAAAAGAATCCAAAAAATTCCATTTAGTGAACATTTGACAGCTGCAAAGAGGAGACAGTCTTAGACACTGTAACATGTTTGTCCTTCTAGAACTTTAGATCAAAGAGTGTTCCCAAGCAAGTGTTCCCAACTGCCTGACTGGGAAGACAAGTGGTAACAACAGTTCTGAGAGAGGGCAGAAGACTTATTTTAAGAATAATGTTTTAAATTATAGAACATTTTAGAGCATTTGTTTGAATATTTAGATTATACTGTGACTGGGATGAGTGAGGTCTGGGGTTTTTTCTTCCATCTGTGACATCATTATCCTGAAATGCCTTGTTAGATAAGCAATTTTCTAAGTAAGGATCTTTAAGCCTCTTTTAGCACTATTATTTCAGGATTCTACAATCCTGAGTGCTTCCTATTAAGATATAACTGCCCTGGGAAAATAGAAATACACCAGAAGATGTCAAATTGTAAGTTTTCAGTCAAAGGATAACCTATTTAACCTGAGTTTTGAGGCGATCATTTCTAACATAATTGGTCCAGGAAGTAGCAACAGAAAATTTGTCCCTGCTTTCCTTAGGTTGAACACCTGGGAATTATTTGGTCAGGGTTTTTTTTTTTTTCCACTCTAGGCCTTGGTTCAATTCAAGACCCTCTGTTTGTTGAGCTGTTAAGGTGGTTGGCCAGTCATTGCTGAGTTTACAAAATCCTATTATTCCATAACTACATAATCAGCCACAGATAAAAAAAACGGTCAGTGTCTCAATTAACCCAGGAAAGGGTATCGACTCAACAAAATGAAGACAAGAGAAAGAAAGGAAAGAAAATGCAATCAGTCAATCAAGGCGAAGGGTCACCATAAAATATCTAAATGAAGGTCATTTAGACATAAAGCATTCTTTTTCCCAAAAAGCGTCAAAAGCAGAGCTACTTGCAAAATTCTAAATGATATTATTTTTCTTCCTAGTATTAAATCTTCCTTTTATTAATCCTTTTGATTAAATAGTATGATGTAGAAAAAAAAACTTTAAAAAATCAATTTTCAAGGCTGGGCATAGAGGCTCATATATATAATCCCACAACCTTGGGAGACTGAGGTGAGAGAATCACTTGAGCCCAGAAGTTTGAGGTTGCAGTGAGCCATGATTGTACCACCTGCACTCCAGCCTGGGTGACAGGGTGAGACCTTGTCTCAAATAAATAAATAAATAAATACTCATTTCTAAAGACTATTTATTCACTGGTAAAAAGGCAATTATTCATTTGAAATGTACACATACATATTTTACTTATTTGAGAACAGATTAATGTCACAGATGCTTTATAAAAAACAGTCATGTATACAGGAAATCAAGAAATTTTCTTTTTATTTTATATTAGTATCAACTTTGAAAAAATATATATGAGAGTGTACAAAAAATCTGAAAACAAAGTCAGCCAGTCAGCACATAGTTAATTAGAACTATCCAAAGGCAAAAACTTATTAGAGCTTAAACCTGAGATGTGTTAACACAATTTGAAAGACAGGCATATAAAATACAAATGTCTGACAATAAAGTCGCTAAATTTAACAATTGGCCAGTTATTAGAAAATATTTATTATTTCTAATCTTATACAGTAACCATATATGGGGAAGAGATACAGAAGATCAAATTTTTCACTTTTGATGCTTTTCTAAAATCAAAGCTGAAATGCTTCATTGTTTTGCCTGGCTGCAATTGGTCCTCTACTTTTCATTAGGGCTAAAGTTTTATGTATGGATTAATTTCGGTACAATGGTAAAATGTTTGGTGTAATGGCCAATTTAGGAAAAGTATGATCATCAGAGAGGAGGATAATTAAAAGGGAAAATTAAGCATAACAAAAGAAAAGGAAATATTAAATAATATTGAGGAAATATTAAGCATAACAAAACAAAACAAACAAATAGGGTATCATTATTCCTGAATGATGACAAATCACTGCTTTCAGAACTTGGAAGTATTTTCAGAATCAGGACACATAATAATGTAGTTTAATACTTGCTATTCCTATTTATAGTCACAAGCAAATATCTAACAAAATAAAATTTAAAAAAAATTTAGAAAACAGGTGATGTGACAATTGAGTGGCAAGATATTTTAATAAAGACTTGTGATGTAGGAAGAATGGGGTTTCAGATGAGTTCCAAATGAGAATGCTATACATGAGACAAGCTAGAATAGCCCCAGAGGAATGTTAATAGAAGCAGAATCCAAAATGGATCATAAAATGATAGACCAAGGGACTTATTTTCAAACTGTGTGTGATGCAGTGTTGCTCCTTGCTATTTGAGAACAGGGAATCCTGAGACTTGTATGTTTGAAGGCTCTGGTGGTATCTGAGAAAGATTTTAAAAATCTGAAAAGTTTTTTTAGGAGCCTAAAGAATAATGTTATAGATGAAATGAAACATTTATTTTTTTATTTTTGAGACAGGGTCTTGCCCTGTTACCCAGGCTGGAGTGCAGTAGTGCAATCACAGCTCACTGCAACCTCAATATCCTGGGCTTGAGTGATCCTCTCAATTCAGCCTCCCAACTAGCTGGGAGTGCACCACCATGACTGGTTAACTTTTAAATTTTTTTGTGGAGATGGAGTCTCCCCATGTTGCTCTAGGCTGCCAAACTCCTGGACCAAGCAATCCTCCTACCTCAGCCTCCAAAAGTGCTAGGATTACGGGCATGAGACTCAGCGCTTGGTTTTGGTTTTCTTTTCATTGCTGGAAAAATGAAATTAACTTGAGCCATAAACAATATAACATTGTCATATTGACAGTTGAAATTTCACAAATAGG